GGCTGGGCACTGGGGAGGGTCCCTCCATGTGTCGTCAGATCCACGTAGCTGCTGCCTCCCGGGGTGGCAGGTGATTCTGGCATAAGCCCTTAACCAAGGGTTTCTTTGGGACTGACGGGCACCCCCAGGTGGACAGAATCCTTCCTGCCTCTGGTCTGGGGGCTGGTCTGCTTCACGGCGGAGGCGGTGGGATTTGGCTTCCAGCCCGTCTTGGGTTGCGGTTCCTCTTCCCATGGGTCCTCGCTGCGGGACCGGCGTGAGTTACATCATCTCACTCAGCTCGCCTTCCCTGCTGTAAAATGGGTAACAATAGCGCTTCCTCAGAGGGTCCTGTGGAGGTCACTGCGCCAGTCCCCCGGGAAGCGCCCACTGCCATTCCCTGACCACCGTTACTGTCCCGGCTCAGACTCCCCAGAGCTCCCATGGTTGATCCCCAGAGGAGCGCGGTGTGTCGGACGGATCAGAGCTGGGGTCCCGTTCTGGCCACTTGCTTCCCCTGGGACCTTGGACTTGTTTCTTGGCCTCGCTCAATGCAGGCTCTGGAGACATGTAGGGCGTCCTTGGAGATCGGTGTCAGCCCAATGGTCCGACGAAGGTGATCCGATTCTTTATCGGGTGATTGCCAGTGGTTCCGAAATTTTCTTCTCTATTAGGATCTTTCTGTCTCTTGTTTGCCTAGACGACTTGCACACAATGAAACGCACCTTTTTTCAGTATGTTCCCTCCCTGACTTGGGGTGTTTCCTGAGCGAGGTCTCTGCGGCCCGTCGCTGCCCAGCTCTCCCCCTTCCCTGACCCGTGATTGCAGAAGGAGACTCTTATCTCTGTAAAAATCAATTACATAAAGTGGCCTTAATTAAACGGCAGTATGGCCACCGTCAGTGTAAATTAACTTGGTTGCGCCACTCTCCTAACTTCCCTGTCCAGCCATCGAGACCGTCCTCGCGCACCTGCCAGCGGGCACCCTCTTTCCAGGCCCTCGTGGCCTCCCGCCGGACCCTGTTCATTGCATTTTAATGTTCCTAGGTCCCGTGAGTTCCCTGATTCAGAGGGAAGCTGGGTGAATAAGTTAACATAACTTTAGGAGCCGCGCAGTTAATCAAATTTTGTCCCTTGTCATTTTTAAGTGCCCGTGTCACCTCAGGAATTAATGGTATTTCTGTTGACCTATTGTCACACTTACCAGGGGAAATCAAGAGCCGTCCTAGCTTGTTCTCTGTTCCCTTGATCAAATCCACTTTCAAATCCGATTGCTCATCCCTGGAAACGGTTTCCACGTCTCTCCCTCTGCTCCCTGTGTACACCGGGACCCCTCAGGCCGGGTGACCTGTCCACCCCCCCACCTCGCTTGTCTGACCTTCCCTTGGCCAGCATGTCCCATGTGCCCTGTAGACCTGGAGAGGTGACTCAACTTGTCTAAGGCCACACGGCTGTCACTGGGAGCCAGGACTGGAGGGGTCCCCACTTGCTTGGGGGTTCCTTTGACTCTGTGTAAGGACGTGACAGACTGCGGGTTGTTTCCATTTATTTGAGGCCTGCCTTCTGTCTGTTTATAACTAGCAGTGGAGAGACGACATTGCTCGATATATTGAGAAAGTGCTTATGTAGCAAATGACACCATCTCCCATTCTGGTGGAAAAAGAAAGTGATGGTTTTGGGTCCCCAGTGGGTAGTCTCAGAGAGAGGGCTGTCCATGGAAGGTCTCCTGTGGCCCCGTGTGCGGGACGTCCCTCGTGGACCTTGCATCCCTGCAGCCCCGTGGCCACACAGATGAACAGGCTCCAGCTCACCGCTGTCTCGCTCTGTGCTGTGATTGTGTCACCTGTCTGGGTGGACCTGGGTGAGCCGTGAGGAGCCAGGGCTCAGCAGCCAGAGAGTCTGTTGGCAGTGACTTCGGGCTGTTTGCAGATGGCAGAGTTTGGACCTTTGCAAAGATCGTACAATCTAAAATGGGTGGGAAATGATACAAAAGTAATTGCTGTTGAGCTCTCTGTCACCGGACGGATGAAAACAGGGAAGGATTGGACAGTCCTGTGGAGGGGACTGTGGGGCCTCCCCCTACTGCCAGTCCCACCACTGGACTCAGGATACCCATGTCTTTGTTCTGAAGTCACTTGTCTCCGATTTTTGTCTTGTGTATCCAATGACTGGAAAATCCCTAACGTTACTAATGTCATGGGTAACGTTGGGCAATAGTGGGTTTGAGGGCAGTGCCAGAGCCCCTAGCTGTCCAGGCTGGGCGAGCCGGCTGAGCCCCTAGCTGTCCAGGCTGGGCGAGCCGGCTGAGCCCCTAGCTGTCCAGGCTGGGCGAGCCGGCTGAGCCCCTAGCTGTCCAGGCTGGGCGAGCCGGCTGAGCCCCTAGCTGTCCAGGCTGGGCGAGCCGGCTGAGCCCCTAGCTGTCCAGGCTGGGCGAGCCGGCTGAGCCCCTAGCTGTCCAGGCTGGGCGAGCCGGCTGAGCCCCTAGCTGTCCAGGCTGGGCGAGCCGGCTGAGCCCCTAGCTGTCCAGGCTGGGCGAGCCGGCTGAGCCCCTAGCTGTCCAGGCTGGGCGAGCCGGCTGAGCCCCTAGCTGTCCAGGCTGGGCGAGCCGGCTGAGCCCCTAGCTGTCCAGGCTGGGCGAGCCGGCTGAGCCCCTAGCTGTCCAGGCTGGGCGAGCCGGCTGAGCCCCTAGCTGTCCAGGCTGGGCGAGCCGGCTGAGCCCCTAGCTGTCCAGGCTGGGCGAGCCGGCTGAGCCCCTAGCTGTCCAGGCTGGGCGAGCCGGCTGAGCCCCTAGCTGTCCAGGCTGGGCGAGCCGGCTGAGCCCCTAGCTGTCCAGGCTGGGCGAGCCGGCTGAGCCCCTAGCTGTCCAGGCTGGGCGAGCCGGCTGAGCCCCTAGCTGTCCAGGCTGGGCGAGCCGGCTGAGCCCCTAGCTGTCCAGGCTGGGCGAGCCGGCTGAGCCCCTAGCTGTCCAGGCTGGGCGAGCCGGCTGAGCCCCTAGCTGTCCAGGCTGGGCGAGCCGGCTGAGCCCCTAGCTGTCCAGGCTGGGCGAGCCGGCTGAGCCCCTAGCTGTCCAGGCTGGGCGAGCCGGCTGAGCCCCTAGCTGTCCAGGCTGGGCGAGCCGGCTGAGCCCCTAGCTGTCCAGGCTGGGCGAGCCGGCTGAGCCCCTAGCTGTCCAGGCTGGGCGAGCCGGCTGAGCCCCTAGCTGTCCAGGCTGGGCGAGCCGGCTGAGCCCCTAGCTGTCCAGGCTGGGCGAGCCGGCTGAGCCCCTAGCTGTCCAGGCTGGGCGAGCCGGCTGAGCCCCTAGCTGTCCAGGCTGGGCGAGCCGGCTGAGCCCCTAGCTGTCCAGGCTGGGCGAGCCGGCTGAGCCCCTAGCTGTCCAGGCTGGGCGAGCCGGCTGAGCCCCTAGCTGTCCAGGCTGGGCGAGCCGGCTGAGCCCCTAGCTGTCCAGGCTGGGCGAGCCGGCTGAGCCCCTAGCTGTCCAGGCTGGGCGAGCCGGCTGAGCCCCTAGCTGTCCAGGCTGGGCGAGCCGGCTGAGCCCCTAGCTGTCCAGGCTGGGCGAGCCGGCTGAGCCCCTAGCTGTCCAGGCTGGGCGAGCCGGCTGAGCCCCTAGCTGTCCAGGCTGGGCGAGCCGGCTGAGCCCCTAGCTGTCCAGGCTGGGCGAGCCGGCTGAGCCCCTAGCTGTCCAGGCTGGGCGAGCCGGCTGAGCCCCTAGCTGTCCAGGCTGGGCGAGCCGGCTGAGCCCCTAGCTGTCCAGGCTGGGCGAGCCGGCTGAGCCCCTAGCTGTCCAGGCTGGGCGAGCCGGCTGAGCCCCTAGCTGTCCAGGCTGGGCGAGCCGGCTGAGCCCCTAGCTGTCCAGGCTGGGCGAGCCGGCTGAGCCCCTAGCTGTCCAGGCTGGGCGAGCCGGCTGAGCCCCTAGCTGTCCAGGCTGGGCGAGCCGGCTGAGCCCCTAGCTGTCCAGGCTGGGCGAGCCGGCTGAGCCCCTAGCTGTCCAGGCTGGGCGAGCCGGCTGAGCCCCTAGCTGTCCAGGCTGGGCGAGCCGGCTGAGCCCCTAGCTGTCCAGGCTGGGCGAGCCGGCTGAGCCCCTAGCTGTCCAGGCTGGGCGAGCCGGCTGAGCCCCTAGCTGTCCAGGCTGGGCGAGCCGGCTGAGCCCCTAGCTGTCCAGGCTGGGCGAGCCGGCTGAGCCCCTAGCTGTCCAGGCTGGGCGAGCCGGCTGAGCCCCTAGCTGTCCAGGCTGGGCGAGCCGGCTGAGCCCCTAGCTGTCCAGGCTGGGCGAGCCGGCTGAGCCCCTAGCTGTCCAGGCTGGGCGAGCCGGCTGAGCCCCTAGCTGTCCAGGCTGGGCGAGCCGGCTGAGCCCCTAGCTGTCCAGGCTGGGCGAGCCGGCTGAGCCCCTAGCTGTCCAGGCTGGGCGAGCCGGCTGAGCCCCTAGCTGTCCAGGCTGGGCGAGCCGGCTGAGCCCCTAGCTGTCCAGGCTGGGCGAGCCGGCTGAGCCCCTAGCTGTCCAGGCTGGGCGAGCCGGCTGAGCCCCTAGCTGTCCAGGCTGGGCGAGCCGGCTGAGCCCCTAGCTGTCCAGGCTGGGCGAGCCGGCTGAGCCCCTAGCTGTCCAGGCTGGGCGAGCCGGCTGAGCCCCTAGCTGTCCAGGCTGGGCGAGCCGGCTGAGCCCCTAGCTGTCCAGGCTGGGCGAGCCGGCTGAGCCCCTAGCTGTCCAGGCTGGGCGAGCCGGCTGAGCCCCTAGCTGTCCAGGCTGGGCGAGCCGGCTGAGCCCCTAGCTGTCCAGGCTGGGCGAGCCGGCTGAGCCCCTAGCTGTCCAGGCTGGGCGAGCCGGCTGAGCCCCTAGCTGTCCAGGCTGGGCGAGCCGGCTGAGCCCCTAGCTGTCCAGGCTGGGCGAGCCGGCTGAGCCCCTAGCTGTCCAGGCTGGGCGAGCCGGCTGAGCCCCTAGCTGTCCAGGCTGGGCGAGCCGGCTGAGCCCCTAGCTGTCCAGGCTGGGCGAGCCGGCTGAGCCCCTAGCTGTCCAGGCTGGGCGAGCCGGCTGAGCCCCTAGCTGTCCAGGCTGGGCGAGCCGGCTGAGCCCCTAGCTGTCCAGGCTGGGCGAGCCGGCTGAGCCCCTAGCTGTCCAGGCTGGGCGAGCCGGCTGAGCCCCTAGCTGTCCAGGCTGGGCGAGCCGGCTGAGCCCCTAGCTGTCCAGGCTGGGCGAGCCGGCTGAGCCCCTAGCTGTCCAGGCTGGGCGAGCCGGCTGAGCCCCTAGCTGTCCAGGCTGGGCGAGCCGGCTGAGCCCCTAGCTGTCCAGGCTGGGCGAGCCGGCTGAGCCCCTAGCTGTCCAGGCTGGGCGAGCCGGCTGAGCCCCTACCTGTCCAGGCTGGGCGAGCCGGCGGAGCCCCTAGCTGTCCAGGCTGGGCGAGCCGGCTGAGCCCCTAGCTGTCCAGGCTGGGCGAGCCGGCTGAGCCCCTAGCTGTCCAGGCTGGGCGAGCCGGTGGAGCCCCTAGCTGTCCCGGCTGGGCGAGCTGGTGGAGCTCACCTGCATTGGCCCGTGTCTCCGCAGTTCCTGCAGGACACCCTGGATGCCCTGTTCAACATCATGATGGAGAACTCGGAGAGCGAGACCTTCGACACACTCGTGTTCGATGCCCTGGTAAGAGGCCCCCACTTTTCCTTTGCTCAGATACTGAGACACACTTCCGTGCCGCAGCCTTTGAAGCCAGGGCCAGGGGACCCAGCATGGTGACCTTGAAAGTGTTTCCGTGTACATCTAGTCAAACCAGATCAATGGAGAGCTAGAAAGTCTCTTTCAGTAGCACTCTAGTTGGGCAAATGCAGTTCCTAGAGTAAGGAGGTGAGCCGGCTGACCGGCTTCCATCTGAAAATCTTACAGTTCATTGAGTTCCACGGTGCAAATGATTCAGAGGAAGATTCCAGAAGGGTTTGCGTTACTTACTAATGGAACTATTGATGAATGTCACAGGTGTTTATCATCGGGCTCATCGCTGACAGGAAATTTCAGCATTTCAATCCTGTCCTGGAGACTTACATTAAGAAACACTTTAGCGCCACGTTAGCCTACACGTAAGTGCTCTTGGTTGTTTTAAAGCCAAAACCTTTGTTTGTTTTTTATGTCTGTTATTAAGAGTCTTTTTCATATACTTCTGTCTGTGATTGTACCTTTCCCTCCTCAAAAGTCTGAATTTGCTGGGATAGTTTTTATTATTGTTCCCAGTAACAAATACTATTTCATGGGATGCTTTTTAAAAATTTTGGTAAAATCCACATTTTACATAAAATGTAACATTTTAACTGTTTCAAGTGTACAGTTCCGCGCACACTTTCAGCACTTAGTAGACTGTGTTGTTTGAAATTACCCAGGTCCAAACCATTTTCAGTGTAATGTTATTTTGCAAAGATTTTCTCTGTGCTTCTCTTGGGCTATAAAGAAAAACCTTTGATCTTTTTATTTAACATCGGGGAAGCTAGTTTACCCACCCTAACCTGGGCGTCTTCATTTGTAGATTAGCGGTATTACCCACTGACTTGCCTTATAGTGTTGTTGTAAGGATTAAATCACATAATACATTTAAATGCTTAGAAAAACATCTAACATTTAGAAAATGCTCAGGTCTCTCTTCTGAGAGTCGTCTTGTGGGTCCCTTTTCATCTGTTTAGAATGAATTTTACAAATGCGCATATAGTGATAGGTGTGAACCAAAATAAAAATAACCCACCTGCGTATTTCTGTCCCAGTTAAGAACTGAGGTGTTGTTATTTTCAGAGCTTATTAATTCGTGTTTCCATTGTGAATAGGAAGCTGACAAAAGTGTTGCGGAACTACGTGGACAACGCCGAGAAGCCGGGCATCAACGAGCAGCTGTATAAAGCCATGAAAGGCCTGGAGTACATCTTCAAGTTCATCGTGCGCTCGCGGGTCCTGTTCAACCAGTGGGTGTCCGGCTGGCCCTCCTCAGGACTGTCATTCTCTCCTTCTCCTCTCCGTCCTCTTTCCCTTTTCCTGTCCCTTCCTCTCCTCTTTTCCTTCCTTTCCTTGGTGTCTAGGATGACAGAGCAGTGACAGATATTGTACTGGGCTGGGGTGGCCCACTTTTACCGTAACGTGCAGTGAGATGCAAACAGAGAAGGCAGCCCTGCTCCTGTCAGAAATGTGTACGTGGGAGTGAAACACTGTCCACTGGGGAGTGAAACACTGTCCACTGGGGAGTGAAACACTGTCCACTGGGGAGTGAAACACTGTCCACTGGAGAGTGAAACACTGTCTACTGGGGAGTGAAACGCTGTCTACTGGGGAGTGAAACACTGTCCACTGGGGAGTGAAACACTGTCCACTGGGGAGTGAAACACTGTCCACTGGAGAGTGAAACATTGTCCACTGGGGAGTGAAACACTGTCCACTGGAAGTATTGACAGTGTTTCACACGCCGTGCAGGATGTGTACCAAGGGCTCTGAATTCCGCTTCAGTGTATCTTTAGATAGCAAATAGCTCCAAAGAACAAACAAAATTGAACAAACAAGCAACAACAAGGGAAAGCCAAACTGAGTTAAATGGCCCCACTTGGGAAGCTGGTGGGCTTCTACCCTGTCTTTCCTTTTAACTCCTCAGTATTTTACTTCCAGAGAGAGATTCCCACGCAGGAAGTTGCTACGTGGTGTGGACACTCAGTTGCTTTAGCTCAGTGACGTTTTACATGCTGGCTGAATGAATTTGTACGTTGTTTTTGAACTTGATCTTGCTTGTATACCTTTCCCTACTGGTTTTAACTCCTTAATTGCTCTGAACCAAAAGCTCCACTGAAAGGCTGGAGCCGGTAGGTGACCCAGGACCCACTTGGTGTTGCTTTATTTGAACAGATTTTGATCTTGGACAATTTGTGATCCATGTGACATTGTTTCAGGGGTTGGCTGGGGCTCGCCTCCTCTCTAAACATACCGCTAACTTTCCTTCTCACGCAGAGATTAGGAAGCAGGAGGAGTGCGAACTGGGAACTGGTGTGTTCCACTCTTGTCACAAAATAACGCTGCTTAGATAAGATTGGGGTCACCCACGTGGGCCAGTAACAAAAGTATTTCTGTCTCCTTAACCTCTTTCAGTCTCAAAATACAAATGGCATGAGCTCTTAGAGTTATGGTCCCTAACAGTTACTGAGTTTGATTGTATAGTGATCAGGAATGTGATTGGCCTTCTGTCACAGAAAAGCCTACAGCCCTTATCCGACGAGGCTCGCCTCCCCCCTCCCTCCCTGAATCCTTAATGAACTTTGGAGCCCTGACTCTATCCCAGACTTTAGTCATTTGTTGACCTTTTTTCCCTCTAAAACGCTTCCTAAATGTGTGTCTTGACCGCCTTCGATGTTCTTGAGTGCGGGGAAGGACACACGTTCCTTTCGAAACTTAGAGCACGGTTGTAGCCACACTGTGTACAGATGGTAACACTTTTAAATTTAAATCTCTAGCCTGAATTTGCTGCGAGGATGTTTTAGTAGCTTAGAGAGTCTGCGGTAGGAGAAAATCATGGCCTTAAATCATGGACAGGAGCAATGCCCCGTGGTCCTCCTCAGCCCTGCGCCCCGCTGCCTGCTCCCCATTTCCCCGCTCCCCATTTCCCCACCCCTTCGTCGGCTCTTCGTCTGGGATGTCAGAGGTTCCATTTCAGGTGATCGAGACCCCTACTTTGTAGAGGCTGCTTAAAGGAGAAGCGGTCCCGTGCCCTACGCGTCCTTTGGTCCTGGTGTTGTGTCCTCAGGGTGGCGGAGAGAAGGAGCCCGGGTCCTCGTTTTCTTGGCTGCAGCACATTCATTACCTTGGGAGGAGAACAGCCCTGCTCGCAGCTGGAGTTGGCAAGAGCGTGTTTCTTTTTGCAGCTGCAATCGACTTCGGAGGCTTTTTTCCCCTTCTTCTTTCAAAACGGTCCGCTGTGCCTTCGCGTAAGGCAGGCGCTTCGTAAAATTCCCGGGAAGCTGACAGCCCTTCTTGTTCCACAGAACAAAGAGGTGACACCATGGAGATGACGATCCTGGAGCTTCTCGCTGTCATCCTGCCACCTTCCTCGCGATGCACACCCGCCCTTGCTGTTTTGTTCAGGAAGCTCATGTTGTTTTGAAATGAGAACAGCAGTTCTAAAACTCGGGCCCAAAGACGCTCGGTTCCCCGGGGAGCCCAGGCAAAGACGCCTGACAGCCAGGGGCCCCTCCGGGGTTTCTGTTTGCCTGTGTCCTCTGTGTGGGCTGATCCCATTAACCAGAAAGCCGAAAACAGACACCTCCCATCAGACCTTCTGAGCCAGCTTGCTAAAGCCAGTCATCACTGCG